ATAAGTGTGTATTTGAAACTGTCCCATATTTCTGCAGTCTGCTAGAGATGTTTTGCGACATTTCAGCGGCGGAATTAGAACGGTCCAATGTTTTGTCGCAGTGCGCCCGTGATGCGAGGTAAAAACTGAGCTTATAGCGATCAGATCTTCCGATTAGATGTGAATTTACTCCTTTAAAACACAGCAGAGTAAGAGCAAGTTCTCCCTAGGTAAGCTCAGTCATTTAAATCGTACTTTGTCTAAATGCTGTGTTGTTGCAAAGCGATGAGAACTTGGAAAGCAAAAGTACCTGACTTTCCGTTCTAAATTCTTCACACCGTACGAACGAAACACGCTGAAACTTGGTATCGACGTTTGAAATATCCTGTTCTAGCTCCTGTTTGAAAATAATGCAAAACAAATCGAGACATTTTTTGTAAGTTGAAATTATATAATTTGTTTGATTTTCTCAATCATTAGGCAAAAATCCCTCCATCTTTATTGCTTGCTAAGATTTTTTGTAAGTCTCCGATCTTTTAGAATTTTACACATACGTTTTTAGTGGTATCAACCTTAAAAAGGGTGGGTACTGGGTTAGTATATATATGGAAATGATGCGGCAGTTGAGACAGACGCAACAATGGAGCAGTTTTAAGAGCATAATTAAGAAGTCGCTCGTTTGGAAAATCTACGGTCCGGATTATCATGTAACTTGCTACGAGAAAACTTTAACTGCATGGCTGCATGCATGTTTGAGGTTTTTAGAAAAAATTCACCGTGGTAAATGAAAAATAATCGCATTTGATTAAAAAAGAAGGCTTCGGAAAATCTGTTATAACTCGAACAAATCGAGTCTGATTGCCACAAAATTTATAATTTTTTTATAATAATCCGAACGCGCTAAACCTTTCACACTGAAGACACCCCTGAAGGTATGCGGTAACCTTAAAAATTCCCACCGTTTGCCAGTTGTCAATATGGTCGTAACAAGTACCCAGTTACATTCAGAGCCGTTGGTCAGATGCAACTAAGATTGGGGCATTTTTTTAGTTGTCGGCTTAAGAAAAATATACAAAAGGGTTTAGTTAACACTATTTAGATTTTGCAATTAGTTGCGTGAGCTCACATTGCGATTCTCTTGAATATTGCATTATATACAAATGAACGTTGGAGCTTAAAACTAGCAGCAGTTTACGGCATGTTAGCAAAGTTGGCGTTTCAACCCTCTCGTTCTGTCTTTTCTTGTCTTTCAGGTTGATACTGTACAGGTTGGATGGTTATAGACGAATGAGTCAACATACTGTCAAATCATTTCAATAAAAATGGTTATTTATAATTCAAACGTTGTTGTTTTGTGCTGTGTTAAGTACCTGCCCGTATCGCTACTTCAAAAACAGTTTGCCAAAGCCATTAAAATTAAAATAACCTGAAAAATAATCAGAGGAACTGAAGTTAACATCAACGCGACTTAATGCCGGTCACAAACACGTGTACCTCAAATCCGTTGACGTATAAACGGTATGTTGGAACCGCAAAGCAAGCGATGCCGCGCCTTCAAACGAAACCGCATCAGCATTAAGAGAGAATAAGCAAACAATAATCTCTAGTTTTAACTGCTGGCCAAATGATTCAATAAAAAGTGTACTTGAAGAAAACTTGGTTATGAAATATTTAATTACAAATTGAACATTCAATGCCGGATTTCATAATTTTCATTAAATGAACTGTATTCATTTTTTCATTAAATGAACTGTATTGGATACTATTGAATAATATTTATGCAGCCTGTTTTACAAGGGAACAGCTGCGGCAATTTTCACAAAATAAAAGAACTACGTTACCTCCATCTAAATCACAGTATTATCTCCTGAGAGTCAAACGGATCAATATGTTTTATCCAGTGATTTTCGTGTCACTACTAGTTTTCCACGCCGCAGTTTGTGAAGAAGAAGAAAGCGACGGAGAGTTTGCTTTGGTAAGGCTTGATTTACCCCATATAGAAACAGCAAATAACGCCGGAAACAAAGGAAAGTGAACCAATTTTAACTATATAGGAACTAGAAAGCGTGAATTAGTTTTGAAAATAGTCATGGTCATTTGCTTTCTCTAACTTAGCATATAAAAAGGCGTTTTGTATCAGCACGGTTCTAGAACTCTCTTGATAGCACTTCAAGGTTCTCAATTAAAACGTTACCAGTTTTCAGCCCGATTTGGCCAGATTTGATTAAGACAATGACTGAGCGGACGAAAATCGGCCCGATTTATAAAACTCTGTCGCGCTGAGTGAGTGAGTGAGCGCAACATATTTTATAAATCGATCGGGCCGATTTTCATCCTCACAATAAAAGAGAAATCGGGCAGACAAATCGTAGTGTGTGCTGATTAAGCCCTGATCAAACGGTCACAACATTTGTTTCAACATTTGTTGAGAGCCGATGTTGAGGCCGTTTGACACCCCCTCCCAACAATGTTGAGTTTAAATTCATTTAAACTTTGTCTCATCATCTTCACAACATTTCTTTTGTTCTTGAAATGTTGAGAGGTTGTTGAGGCCGTTTGACCGGGTATGGTCTCGATATCTCTCAACATTCTCTCAACATGACTCAACAAATGTTGAGAGAATGTTGAGACAAATGTTGTGACCGTTTGATCTGGGATTTAGGTGTCGCGAGAGCGACCAAGCGACCCCATTTTCTATCAAAGTTCCTATTTCCTTTGTATTTCCGTCATGCATTCTGTCGTCTTGTTCCTTCAGAATTATCTCACAAACTACAACTACATCTCACAAAGCAGATCCGGAAACCAGGACTTAACAACCGCAATCAAAAAATTCCAGACATTCTTCGGTCTGCCTGTGACTGGAGAGTTAGATGATGCAACCGTGGAGGAGATGAAGAAACCACGATGTGGAGTCCCGGATATTGGTAACAACGACGAGAGCTTCCGTGTGAAGCGATACTCAACGTGGACCAAATGGAGCAAAACAAATCTCAAATACTACTTGAGTTATGGCGAGGACATGTTAGCTAGAGATCAGTCCAGAATCATTGCCAAAGCATTTAAAACGTGGAGTGACGTAGCATCAAAGCTGAGGTTTTCCAGGACATATTCAGTTAGGGATGCTGACTTCAAAATCAGGTTTGGTATATTATTTTAACAGGGGCACTCAACGACAAAATTTTCCTGTAGGTGTCCGAACGTCATTTTTACGTTAAAATTGTGCTTTTTGTGCAGTTTAATGGCTTATTTTTAAACGCTAAGAAAAATGTAAATCAACGGGTGGAAAATAAGGGTCATCTTTTAGAAATAAATTAAATAGATATCTTTATTATAATGCTCGAAGCACTGACAAACTACATGATTTCTTGCAGTTTCGGCAAAGGAACTCACGCTGGTGTTCCAGGTGAAAGGCGATGTTCTTCTAAGTTTGATGGTAAAGGCAAAGTTCTTGCTCACGCTTTCTATCCAAAAGATGGCCGAGTCCATTTCGATGATGATGAAAAGTATACAGAGACTGGTTCATTTTGGAATGGATCACAGAGCCTCATTCATGTTGCCGTTCACGAGATTGGCCATGCCTTGGGACTTGCACACTCTGACGTCAGGGGCTCAGTAATGTGGCCGACGGCTAGCCGAGGTACACCCAAGTTGCATCGTGACGACATCGCCGGCATCAGGTCCTTATACGGTACGTGCCATGATATTTTTTATACATTTAACAATACAATTTTAAAAAGTATATTTATATATCTCTAAAACGTAGCAAGACAGACAAGATATCGTAGTGCAATCGCTTGCAATCAGCGTGGCGTTTAACTAAAGGCATGTTTTAGCCAAATATATCATTTATATCGCTACTTACTAGTTCAATAGATTACTAATGTTATGAATTTCCTCAACCGTCGGAAACGGAAAGAAAGTTTAAAAAGTTTGTCAATTCTGAGGTCCACTGGTATTTTAAACTGTGAGATTTTATGTAGTCTTGGGTTTTTCCACAAATGAGGGTTAATCACTGAGTACCTATCGCGTTATAGTTATCATGAACGAAGAACAGCCTTCAATTTAAAAAGTAAAGATACTTAACCTGTAACGTGAATTTTGATTGTAATTCTACCAATCCATGAAGTCATGAGGAGACCACTAATGATGATATTTTATCCCCAAATTAATCGCTTCCTTTGCTTTTCAGGTCGATAGTCGTCCTGATGGTCAGGCGAAGGATCCGCTCAAAAATGAATGGGTCCAAAATGCGATTGAAATTATTGTCAATAAAGACGATTTTGATGCTATAAAAGTTGTCCGCTTGTAACTAGTCTTGTATTACACGTGTTGCACTTGTCAACGCTAATAGTTAATCATTATTGCGTCGAAAAGAAAATGTTCCGAGAAAATCTGCAAGGAAACGTCCGCGATATATCGCATTGACGTCTTTACCCCACACTGAAACCCCCAGAGCAAAATAAGACTTAACCGTTAATAACGTAAACCCTCATCTCATGCGGGCTAAATTCCTAAGTTCTCTGACCGGATTATTTCAGTCAAAAAATCGCAACTAAGCCAATTTTTCACATGTAAAGAGGAATCATCAGTTTAAGTGAAGTTGTTCTTCGCACTATAAGAGTTTAGTAAAAATCTACTAGTATACTAATGCAAATGAGACAATCTGATTGGCTGAGCTACTCGTACACTATCAGCCATTAGTGTGCAGTGGTTGGAGGTCGTCTACAAAATTGCGGTTTCTTCTCGTTTCTCCGATGTTTCGGAAGAAGATTTAGAGTTAATACTAGACAATCGTTATGATTTTTAATAAAACAATTAGATTTTTCGCTCTCAATTTCTATGATGTGATAGTTGATTCGGCCTACGACCTCGTCAACTATCACATCATAGAAATCTCGAGCTCATAATCTAATTGTTAATTAGAAATAACAGAAAAAAATAATTAGTGAATGATCCTCACAGTGAAGCTAACAACTTAATATGCAGTTGTTTTAACAACATATAATGCCTAGAAAAAATCCAGGCTTGAATTAACGGGATCACCCGCGGGAACCCATGGCCCTGCGATATTGGTGCAGCGCTCTGACCAACTGAGCTATCAAACCAACTGGGAGCGGATTATTTCATATATTCATATTCAGAAAATAAAAGAACATGTCAAAATAAACATGTTGTCATCCACATGTTTTCCTTGCCGAAGACTCACCAGTAAATGTTGCCGGTCGCAGGAAAATGAGGAGAAGGGGACGGAGAAGCTATTCTTGATCTCATGGCTTGTGACCGCGTGTTAATGCCTGCCAGCATTGTAGGTTTGCATTAATTGACTCTCAGATTTATCTATATCGTTCAGTAGCAAGTGCCAGTTGACATGAATGGATAAAAAACCAGGTACGGAATTTGTCGGTCCAAAACTGCCTTGTTACAGAATTAGTATTCTAGAAGCGAGTAAAAACTTTGAAGTTTGAAAACTGTTCTCACACTCTTCAAATCGCCGTAAAAACCGCATCAAAGCAAATTTAAACAACGTCCAAGCATTTTGACTTTATTTTATTAAATATAGACAGTCCTAAATACCTATTTTAGGAAGATTAATGTTCACAATAGCAGTTCTATTGTACTGTGCTACGAAATTTGAATATCATAGATACCTGTGACCACACAAGCAGAGGATGGTAAGCATGTGGTAAGATATTCGGCTTGCTGTAAAGACTTTAGAAAAGCCATGCGCGATATTGACTTAAGGTGATTCCCTTCAATTGCATTGCGCATCCTTACTGCGCATAATTTCTCGCATCATTATTAGCGCGCGCCACGCGTCATTAGCGCGAGCACGAGCGCGCGCACATACAGAACATTACGGGATTTAATTATAAAAGCAATATATAATTATAATAAGAACCTTCCCAGAATCCTTTGCAACTGGAATTTTTTCAATGCCAAATAACTTTGTCAATTTAAGGCTTAGAAAGATGTAACTCCATAAGATAATGACACTTTCCATAAAATAACTCTCATATCAAACTTAGTGCGATGCGTCATTGGTCACGTGACCACGCTTGAAAATGCGTTTTTGTTTACTGTGAGAACATGCCTCTATCAATTGAAAAACAATTAATGTAGTCAGCAAGACATTGTTATGGGGCATTTTGAAATGGCCATTAATATTCTGGCATTTTAAATTTAAGGGGGCTATACACGAGGGAACAAAGAGAGAGACTGGGTACCAGCTAATATCTCATGAAGTGTAAGGCGCATAGCAACAAAAATTTACATGTGGATATATATTCATGCGAAGTATACGTTTTTGCCAATTTCGCTGTCGTGACGTCATAGGTCATGTGACCAGATCGCTTTGAATATTTTAAAAGTACATTACGCTCAATGAAACAGCATTTTTTTCCGTCTGCAGTTTAGATATTTACGTCAGATATTTGAAATGAACAACTGATATTTGTATTTCAAAACATAAACCAACGAAAGATTATCTAAAAACATGGTTATGCTAACGGTTCAGTGATTTTCAAAATAAAAACTAAAAGCAAACTCGTATTAGAGGTTTAGTGACGTCCTCTTTTTTTCTAGAATAACCGTTTTTTTCTAGAATAATCACATCATACTGATAACGGATGTGATTTTGAACAACCGACCGGGAAGGGGACTGGAAACGATCGAAGGATGCGAGTAGCCTGAATACGAGGCTGAGTTTTGGCGCGATTTCTACTGGCCAGCGGCGTCGGTGTCACGTCAGAAGGACAGCAAATTTTCGAGTTTAGCGTTCGTTTAGCGGCTGTCTGTGAAAGAGTTTTTCGGTCTACTTTTGTCGTGGTTTGGTTTCTAAAAGCGAATTAAGGTCTCCCAGACCGTACAGGATCTACATCTGCACATCTGTGGCCGCGTTACGTTTCACATTCGTCCACAAGTTACTGCCTGTCGGATCCTGTCGGGGGATATAAAGCAAAGCTAAGTGAACGTTTATTTCATTACATCGCAATTCTCGACAAAAGTTTAGCTGATAATATTGTACAGCTCCGCAAATGATCTCGGGACCGCAAATGATCCCCGACCGCAAATGATCCCCAAATTGGACTGCAAATGATCCCCGACCGCAAATGATCCCCAGAATGGACCGCAAATGATCCCGCTAAAAATCGAGGAATGGCGTGGACGGTGGACGCGATTTTTTTCCGATTTTGAATATTTGCCCCAATAACTGAATCTGTGCACGCTAGACATTTTTATGACGGAAGTGGTATATATTGTTTCATTACTTAAGAGGCTGTCTCTGTAAGATCCTCATAACCAATTTGGGCCACATAACAGAATTCCTTGAAACTTTGCATGCGAGTAACACCTAATGTGGTTAGTTTCAAAATGCATTTCGTTTTGGCTCTAACTTTATTTTGAGATTTACGAGGGGGGTCCCGTGGGGGTCCGAAATGGTGATTTTTTGGTCTTCAAATTTCCATTTTTTCATAATTTTAACATCCTCTCACTTCCCTTGAAATTCATTGCCAGACATCATCCTGCCGTGTGGTGGTAGGTATATGATCTGTTAATACTATGGTATAATTAAAGTTTCCGTAACATCATTTCAACTAGTTAAATTTTAACTTTTATGGTACCTTCATTGACAGCTTATACGAAAAGGTTAAAAGTGGGTGTACAAAAAATCATATAACTCAAAAGTTAGACTTTGCACAGATGTTTCGTTGCATTTGTGGAGAGATAAAGACTTGATCTTCAATGCTATTAAATAAAATTTTCCGGCCAGCAGGTATTATCGCCTAGAGGTCATTGTGAACTGTATCAGTATTTCAAAATTTTCTAATTAATCGGCGAAGAGAAGGTCAAACATACACGTGAAATTTTGATCCAAATAATGTTCTTTTCCATCATAATCACGTATGAATAGTTTCTAAACACGTTTTACTGCTTTACTTTAGCAGTACTCATGCAAATAAAGCTGGAAAAAATCATAAAATGACCTCATTATTTATGCATATTGATGCTCAAAATGCAAGTGAGCTGTCAAATTTACTCCACTAAACAGCCGATCAAATTTCTTGATATACAGATAGTTTAGCTTACTTATTCGATGGGGGAAAACAGTAATCCAAAAACAAGACAAAACAAGGTATAGATGGTATATTGTAACAAATTTAGACAGTCAAACAAATCTGAAGAAACTTACCCTTGATGACCTTGAAATTGACAACTCGTATGTTGGCATATTTGCCTAAGTATGTATAGCAGATTTCGCAGACAGTTTCGTTGAGATTAGATTACAGTTATAATTGTTGTTACAATTAGATCTATAATGATTAAAATTCACATAAAAATTGAAGCAATTACCTTTGTGATTGCGTGAACATTCTTCGCACACGGGACATTAATTCCCACTTGCCGTGACAAGAATCACACTGTTATTCAACAAGGTAACCGCTGACCAGTTAAACACCGACAATGTTCCCGAGACTAGGCTTGTCGATTGTAAAAATGATATCAATGGCCATTGCTGTCACCAGGTGTTGTAATCTGTGACATGGCGAGGTGGATACAGAAACTTTACGGTTGCAATGTACAGATGGGAAGTAAGAGGAATTCTCAATTAGGGGGGAGGGGGGCGAGTAATTGAATAATAAAGTGACCAAATTACCCCCAAATAATAACATATACCTTTACTATAAGCCCTGCTCATATTTATGTACAGAAGGAGTTTTTGGTTTTGCTTCACGAGAAGAATATTATAGGAACTAATTATGCGTTTCAAAAATGATTTGGTTACATTTTAAAAAGTGTTTGGGCTTATATTCATTAGGGGAGGGATCTGAAGGTTTTTCCATTGTAGTTGATTCTGATTTTGGGCGCTTATTTTCGGTAGGGGGTGCTTATTTTCGGGATGGGTGGGGCTTACTATCGGTATATCACGGAACTGTGATGTACCGCATTTAAAATCATAAAATGCCTGCCAAAAATGCCTCAGATTATTCGAGAAAAGGTATACAGGCCAAAATGGCTAAATCACCAATTAGACACCACAATGTTATCATGTCTCCCCATCACTGTTTCCTACCGAAAATAAGCGCCCCAAATCAGAATTAACTACAATGGAAAAACCCTCAGATCCCTCCCCCAACGAATATAAGCCCAAACACTTTAAAAAAATCATCCGGCCTTCAAAATGTAACCAAATCATTTTTGAAACGCATAATTCGTTCCTATAATATTCTTCTCATGAAGCAAAACCAAAAAATCCTTCTGTACATAAATATGAGCTGGGCTTATAGTAAAGGTATATGTTATTATTTGGGGGTTAATTTTGGTCACTTTATTATTCAATTACTCGCCACCCCTCCCCCTCCCCCCTTTGGGAATTCCTCTTAGTTCCCATCTGAACATTGTAACCGTAAAGTTTCTGTATCCACCTCGCCATGTCACAGATTACAACACCTGGTGACAGCAATGGCCATTGATATCATCTTTACAATCGACAAGCCTAGTAAACTAGACATTCCACGGGATTCCCCGCAGTTATCATTTCTCGGAAACATTGTCGTGTTTAGGTCAGCGGTTACCTTGTTGAATAACAGTGTGATTCTTGTCACGGCAAGTGGGAATTAACGTCCCTTGTGCGAAGAATGTTCACGCAATCACAAAGGTAATTGCTTCAATTTTTATGTGAATTTTAATCATTATAGATCTAATTGTAACAGCAATTATAACTGTAATCTAATCTCAAGGAAGCTGTCTGCGAAATCAGCTATACATACTTAGGCAAATATGCCAACATGCGAGTTGTCGATTTCAGGTCATCAAGGGTAAGTTTCTTCAGATTTGTTTGAATGTCTAAATTTGTTACAATATACCATCTATACCTTGTTTTGTCTTGTTCTTGGATTACTGTTTTCCCCCATCGAATAAGTAAGCTAAACTATCTGTATATCGAGAAATTTGATCGGCTGTTTAGTAGAGTAAATTTGACAGCTACTTGTGTTTTGAGCATCAATATGCATAAATAATGAGGTCATTTTATGATTTTTTCCAGCTTTATTTGGATGAGTATTGCTAAAGTAAAGCAGTAAAACGTGTTTAGAAACTATTCATA